CGATATTTTAATTTCTAAAGATCACTCATAATTAATTTAACTTTGATAGTAGTGTACCTAAAATGTTTTCGAGCTACTTCTAAAAATAAATATCCAACGAACCAATAATTATTTTATTGAATTTGATGAACAAAAGAATAGAAATAAATCACGAGACACCGATAATAAATTGTCAATTTGATCGAGAATTCGGGTCTATAGTCTGTTTGGAAATGAAAGAGAAAACCCCGAGATAAGAACCGGCCACGGGCGTCGTAATATTTCGTTTCAGGTAATTATCGGGTAACACTAATGCTAACAAAAATGACAGGGATTGGAAAATCGACTATCTACAGACTTTTAAAGGAAACAAAAAATGAACAAGATACTGTAAATCCCCCAAAATCATCTACAGGGAGGTCAAAAGTCGTTATAGATGATTTCTTCAAAAATGTCATTCGCAGAAAAGTACACTCATTTTATTTTAAAAAAGAAATACCAACGCTAAACAAAATTTTAAGTGAACTTTCAGAGGACAACGATTTGCCAAAAATCAGTAGAAGCAAATTATGGGCCGTCTTACGAGAGTTGAATTTTTGCTGGGAAAAGCAGAACAGGAAGTCAGTTCTTATCGATAAAGATGAAATTATTTGTTGGCGAAGATCCTACTTAAGATCAATTAGAAAATTCCGTGACGAAGGGAGGAATATTTATTATCTAGACGAAACTTGGGTCAACGAGGGATATACTGTAACAAAAGTATGGCAAGATAAAAATGTAAAAAGTTTTCGACAAGCATTTTTGGATGGACTTTCAACAGGGTTCAAGGCACCTTCAGGTAAAGGGCGAAGATTAATAGTGACACATATAGGTAGTGCCAGTGGTTTTGTAGATGGCGGTTTACTTTTATTTGAATCTAAAAATACAGGTGACTATCACGAAGACATGAACGCAGATGTTTTCGAAGAGTATTTTACACAGATGTTGGATCTTATTCCTCCGGGGTCTGTAATTGTCATGGATAATGCCAGTTACCATTCACGGCAGACCGAGCGGACGCCTACGACTGCTTGGAGGAAAGCCGATATAATTCAATGGTTATCCGGAAAAAACATTTCTTTTGAAACAAATATGGTGAAAAAGGAACTTTTGACACTTGTCAATCTTAATAAAGATCAGAAAAAATATGTTATCGATGAAATGGCAACAAATCGCCAAATAACGGTACTACGGTTACCACCTTATCACTGTGAACTTAACCCAATCGAATTAGTCTGGGCGCAGGTAAAAGGAGATGTAGCGCGAAATAATACGACGTTTAAATTAAGTGACGTGAAAATTTTGTTAAAAAATTCCTTGGAACGAGTAACTGCAGATAACTGGCAAAGATGTATACATCATGTACAAAAAGAAGAGGAGAAAATGTGGGAACTCGATAATTTAATTGACGTTACTGTGGAACCTATCGTTATCAATCTAGGAGACGAAGATAATTCATCAGAATATTCAGAGGATGAATTTTAATATACCTACTTTTTTATTTTCTTTATTGTACATTTATACAACACTACATTTACTCACCATAATTTGAATTTTCAAAATACATATATTTTTGTGTGGAATAAAAGTCTATTCATTAAATTTAAATAAATATTTTGATAATAATATTGAATAATTTTATTTGAATTACTAAAAACCCTCTTAACCCGGTTATGATGCTTAAAGTAGCCTCATGTTTTGAAATGCTGTTTTTATATTGTTTACTTATAAGAGAAATGGACCGAGAAATTGAAGCGGCATAGACAAAGACGGATTGTCGGGGATTAAATTTTAGCTACCTGCTACAATTTAGTACAACCCGGTCACACAAAGTTTTTTTAAAAGTACACCTCATCTATACCGATAATACATAATATAAAAATATTGAATATAAGCACCAGTACTACATTTATTTACGATTTGCATACATAATAAGCTTTTATTACTCTCTTTTATTTCTAAACAGACTTATAGTAAGTATCTTTATTTTTTATATACGTTTTTTTAAATAGCAAAAAAATAATTTTAAAACATACATTAGAATTTATTTACAATTACCAACGTATCTACATACCAATATTAGTTAATATTTAATAACAAATCAATAATCAAATCATTTAATTTTTTTAACTTAATAGAAGTTTTTCTAATGTTTGACTGTCCGTGCATATTGGCAAAAAACAAATACGGCGATTTGCAAAAGCAATACCTATGTTATTACTAAATCATTTTCCATCGAAGTTTGGGTTTGTAACAGTTTATTTAAAAAGTTGATAAGTAATACAACTTACTAGGCTAATTTCATGCCACATAAACATTTTGCTCCTCAACCAGATTTCTGACTTTATTTGGGAATAAAGATTCCACCTCACGGTGAGATTATTGTCCTATTAAGGAGAAACGTTAATCGTTAAAAACTATTGGTTAATTTCAAGATTTCAGGTAGACGAAAAATGGTGAAAGTGTTCCATCAAATCGACTGATAGGAATTATATTACTGTCACTTAAATATGGCAACCGCAAACAATAGTCAACCGAGGTGTATTCTGCGGGCATTGTTGCATTCGATACTGGGAATGGCGCAGCTGTGTGGGGCCGCTACATTAATGCATAATACGATTTGGATGCACCAGTCGATCGCTGTTGTTCACCAAACCGTTCTTTCTAACATAATTTCCCGATATAATTTATGGGAATGTTATAGCGGAATTGATTCCGTGCCATTTATTTCGCCATTTTATTTCAGGGACCATGTGGTGGAATTAAATAAACAGGAACAGAAACAATTGGTTAGCGTTAAAATATGCAGTTGTTTCGGTGGGAATCTATTCCCTGCTTCTGTTCAGTCTACACTATGAATTCGAAAAGTCTTACACTAGTACATTGTTCGAGTTAGCGAACTGTATTGTGAAGTATTGAACAACAAAAAATTTAGAGCTAGATAAGACGAAGTTGCAGCTCCGTTGGAGCACTTGTAACTATTGTAACCAATTAATGTTTACAAAATTAAACTAAAATTACTTAATACTAATTCAATTCGTTCTGGACTGCTCAAACTTACGTTAGTTTACAGTCAAAATGGGAGGTTAGAATCAACACCCATGTCATCAATGTGGTCAAGGCTACTAGGCAAGATATACAGGATAGTCCTAAAGTACGTTATGGTAACAAAAGTGGTAATTTGTCAGTTTGGAAGTACATATCGTGCGTTTATTGAAAAACTGATTATATGTGCACCATAGATGGATAGACCAAAGCGCAGTTCAACCCAACAACCACAGGTGGTCCCTTCTGTTACCCGACTTAAATCCCTCTAGATTATGTCCTTTGACGGAATTTAAATAATCGTAAAATAGAATCATGTGGCATATTGAATGTAAGTTGATGAGAGGAAGAGTAGAAATTTGTGTTAATGTTAATGTTAATGGTGGACAGTGTCAACTTTTAATGTACTTAAATTCGGTTTGAAAAGTCAAAATACTTAAAAATTAGACTATACTTAGTGCAAGCTTTAACTCTTCTAAAGTTTCTCTAATATCTTAAGGTTTGGATGGTGATACTTAAAAATGTAATGTGTCTATCTCACACCTCCATCACCAAGAATCACATATACTTTCATGAAGTCATTAAGTTTTGGACAGCTGTCAAGAAAAAGGTGATTAATAGTTATTTACATTATTTACCAGTCGAGGACGATTTTGCGCCCGAGCTGAGCGAGGGTTGGTAATAGAGTCCGAGACTGGTAAATTATAATTAACCGCTGCGTGGAGTATAACATTTTATCTGCTCTCACAGTTCTCAAAGTCGCCTTGGTTATTTGGATTTTGTCGTTTCTAAGGTATTTATAAAAAAAGCTACATAAATGTTGCAATTTTGCTGGTTTTGAATTATTATTTCTAATGAGTGTTCATCAAATAGAAAGTGCAGCAAATGCTGCCTGCGAATTTTTATTGCCCGAGAAGTAGAAAGTACGCTACGGACGACCATATTGAAATTTCAAAGAATGGTGCCAGAACAAAAATACTGGTGTTTCTGAAATGTCATTGCTAGCATATTTCATGGAGAAGTCAAGAACTTTAAAGTCACCGAGTTTGTGGAGTGAATACTCAATGATTAAGTCAACTATTTTCATAGAATAGAACGTGGATATATTAAAATATCCCAAACTGTATTAACTTAAGTATCAAAAATAAAATAGCCAACAGCATTCTTTACACTGAGACTTCAACTCCAGGTTCTATACTAGTTATACGTCGCATCATGATGTTTCAATGGATCAGTCAGATAATATTGAGCCTCCGGTTACTGAAATGAGAAAAATATGAATGTATACGCGAGAGGAATAATTATCCAGATTTTATAAATGTTACTAAATGTAATAACTGTAAAATTACTATAAATATCCATTCATAACAATTAGTAATATGAGAAAACAAAATCTACATAGCTGGGAACTTATCGACTTGACATTGACAATGACAATACAAAGATTCAGAAGTACCACGTTGAAAGAAGTAAAAACTGAGCTTGTAAAGTCAATTGCAGAGTTGTGTTCGAAGCTAGGTCACTCGTAGAAGTCCTCATGTTCCGTAATCTTTTCAAAAGTTTATAATTATTATCATCGAGATTATCATTTTTTCTAATCCTACCATAAAATAAAACTATCAGAAACAATAATGATATGTACCCATAGCTACAAATTCAAGAAACAAGTAAGTTGTCGTGTTTATTTCTGATTTAACATTCATTCAGTAACTTTGCACTGGGGAGATGTTTTTAAAACATTACACTTAAGAATATTTAGTTCCACAGTATGCGAAATGAAAGTTATTTAACTTATAACAACTTTAAGGCAAAATGCTTTTTACACTTATAAATGTGGATAAATACGAATCATTTTGTAGGTTATTTCAGTGTAAAATTTAAAATTCAATTTTTTTTTGCTTATTTATTATTCCAATTATAACGTAATTAAAGAAAATGACAGTAAACCTGTTTTACATTTCCCAATTTTTTTAACAAATAAATTGCACAAACTGATCAAGAATTTCTCACAATTGGTGAATATAAAACAGGTTTAGGACTAGTTTTGATTGTTGTAAATTATATAATATGTTATAAATACTACATTAAAACAAAGCTTATTAATTTCTAGCGTTAAAACACAACTATAACATTTTTTATTTTATAATACTAGGAGCTAATTTAGAAATATATTCACAAGAAAACTCAAATACATAATTTGACTTTTACACAGACAGTTACCTAAACGGTTCTATCAGCTATCATCACAGTCTTCAAACATCCAATCATCTTCACTCACATAAACTTTTTCCGCCACACAAGTACTTTTCAAACACGTGTTAGTTTCCTCCCCTTGCCACATGTCGTCTTCAGTATCAATATCCGAATGCACTTTATTGGTTTTGGGAGGTAAGTCCCAATTCTCATCGTCATCAGAAGTACCAAAAAATGCTATACTATTGGTGTCATTGGCATCATCGTAATATAAGTCCAATTCTGAACAGGAATCAATAAGATCCTCAGGCTCCTTTGTCTTGGGACCATCGTAACGATCTTCAATAGAATATTTTTTCCTCAAGTTATTCCTTTTTTCTTCATACAAAGACAAATTTTGAAATTCTCTTGTATCACAGTAGTTGCCTTCCAAATCTATGTAGTTGACAGCATTTACATTGAACGAAATCATGTCCAATGAGTTATTATACAGATCTAATGTTTTCAAATTTGACATGGAGGAAAAATCAGGTACGCCATCGATACAGTTGTTGAATGCCTGTAGTACTGTTAGCTTTTCCATCGACGCTAGACTTTTTGGAACAGACACAATACTATTATTTGATATCACTAGAATCTCAAGATTGACTAGAAATTCTATACCGTCCGGTAACCAGGACAAATTATTGTTCGATACATAAAGTTCTTTTAGTGATTCAATCCATGCTATCCCTTCTGGGAAAATAGATAGATATAAGCCATTCAGCTTCAAAACATTCAGTTCTTTCCATTTTGGCTTTACGAACAATTTATCTAAGTCATCGAACTTGTTGATATAGGACAACATATCGTTACTAATGTCCAAATATCGCATCTGTCTAAAACACTTTAATAAATTGAAGTCGTCGTCTATAAGGCAGCTACTTATAAGTTGAAGTTTTTTCAGTTTGAACAAATTTAAGTTGAAACTGTTTTTCATATATTTATACGTTTTTGCTTTATTGTTGCTGTAATCAAATTCCTCCAAACTAGTACATCTAAACATCAAGAACCACTTCGGAGCATTGACAAATTTATTACTATTTAACTTAATTTTTTTGAGGTACGGAAGGCAATCAGGTTCTAAATCGAAATTTTGAATCAAGTTATAACTTAAATCCAACGATTCTAAGTGTTTGAGACCATTGTAAAGACACGATGGAACGTGTTCTAAGTTATTGTGTGAAAGGCCCAGATATTTAAGATTCAGCTTATTGCAGGCAATTGGTACATCAGTCAAATGGCAGTTGGAAAGTTCTAAGGTGGTTATTTTTGATACATATATGTTATCACAAATTTCGTTCGGTATCACATGACTAAATAAGTACTCTATAGTAAATGCCTTAGTTTCAGTGTTTTCAGTCTCAGATGGATATATTTCGATTGCTTCGTTTTCTTCTCTGGTGATCAAACGTATTTTTGAATTAAAACCTGGAAAAAAAAATAGTTGTCAAACAAATTATACAGGGTGTTTTATACATCGAGGCGAAAAAATAAGGAACGTATACGGGGTGATTGATATTCTATTAAAAAAGTGTAACATAAAAGTTTTGCCGCCAGGCCTTTGTTTTCGAGCATAGTATACAGTGTGTATCACGAAGAAAGTCCGGTAGGATTATCTCAAAAAGTAGTCAGAATTGAAATCTGAAAATTTGCATACAGGGGTTTATCAACAAGATCTATTCAATGAAAATACTGTCAACTTCCTCGCACTTCCGGTTACACCGGAAGTCATCATTAGTTCTGTTATTTCAAGTGGAACACTATGTATATTTATGCATTTTTTAATTCTACGGCAAATTGTAGACTATTTTCATAAGGTACTATGTGCCAAAATGTGACAGTTGTCAAGTTATTATTAATTTTCGGAAAAAATTGACGGATGTAAGTGATTTTTGAAAATAGAATAACTCCGACATTTTGCTTTATTTATTAATGAAATTTGGCATGGATAATTTGAAAACATTGGAATTCTACCAGTTTATGTCAAATTTGCAAAAATTCATACAGAGTGTTTAAAAACGTGTGGCCAATATTGTCACGTTGATGAATTTCCTCAAAAATTTGAAATGGTAGACCCTGTATATTAATACCTTAATGGATGCAGAATTAAATTAAATTAATTTAAAATGATACTATAGTTTCCTATACCCAAAGTTAACAGTTCTTGTGTAAATTGGAAATTGGAATTGGAAAAAGAAAAATCTACGAGTATGGTGGGTTTATTTAAAGCATCGCCCTTTTTAATTTAATATACTGAATTATTGTTTTTGATTAAGGTATAACGATAATAAAAATTACAGTTCATTAATCAGACACCGTTTATTATTCAATTCTTTAGTGCATCAAATCCACCGTACGTTTTTCTGTGCTGAAATCAGTAATTTTGAATTTACACAAGAACTACTATTAATGTAATAATATACAGGGTGTACCATTTGAAATATTTGAGTAAATTCAATTTCAACGTCACAGTATTGGTCACACGTTCTTAAACATACTGCACGAATTTTTGCAAATTTGACATAAACTGGTTAAATCCCATTGATTTCAAATTATCCATGCCAAATTTCATTAATAAATAAAACTAAATGTCGGAGTTCTGTTTTCAAAAATCACTTGCATCCCTCAATTTTTTTCGAAAACTGATAACTTGAAAACTGTCACATTTTAGCCTATAGTACCTTATATGAAATTAGTCTAGATTTTACCGTAGAATTCAAAAATATAAAAATATACAGAGTGTTCCATTTGAAATAACAGAATTGACGATGATGTCCGGTATAACCGGAAGTGCTAGAAAGTTGACACTATTTTCATTGAACAGGTTTTTTTTAAGAAATCCCTGTATACAAATTTTCAGATTTCCATTTTTAGTACTTTTGGAGATAACCTTATAATGTTTAACTTTAGTAAATAACAGCAAGCCATGAAATAAGTGATAAAAATCATCAGTGAGGTGATTGAATTATTAAGAACTTTCAAGTAAATTTCCTGTTTAATTGCAATTGTTTCGTAACTTAATGGGATAAATGAATAACGATACAATAAGTTATTATGGTAACAATAATAGGTTTACAAAAATGAATATTTTATTAAATGCAAAAAGCAATAATAATAATAAAATAATTATATGTATCTGACTGCGTTCATTGTTCTTTGCATAAAATATTCATGGTTATTAATTTCCACTGCGTAAACCAATTGTTTTAAATGCCATCATAGAAAATAATCCAAAGGATTCAAGTCAGGTGATCTCGCTGGCCATAGCACGTGACCACGTCGACCTATCCCTCTCCTGCAAAAAGTTTCTTCTAACCAAGTGCCAAGAGGAAAATCTTCTAGCAATTCTGACATCTTGTTTTTAATTTAAGTTCGCCTCAATATCGAAACGATTAGGAGGACTTGAATCGGAAGTAGTCGCTTGAGGGCTCGACCCCACATAGCTATAGGAACATTGATGAAAACTTCTTTTTGTTTGTTTATATGGTCATTATTTATGTTATTCCGAGTAAAAGTACTTCGGCCGACCAAAGGTTTAAGTTTTTCAAACAAAATTAAACTCGGCAAAAAATTTAAAGGAGCAGAAAAATTTCCAAAACTTTTTTAGTGATTTTTTAATTGTAATTTCGTGATTAATGGTCGCATTAAAGCTTGAAGATTCTAGTTTTGAAATCTTGAGATGAAAATTCTTTTTGAGCTCACTCACGGCGCAATCAAAAGAAATAACGCAAGGTATTTTTTTTTTCAAAACTGCACATGACCTCAGAATTTTTTTTTCTGGCTTAGGTAATCAATGCCATGGTCATTTAGCCTGATTTATTATCTCTAATTTGTTTTTTTTTGTTTTATTTTCTGTGCGATTATTTCTCAGTGATATCGGCTATTCAGTGAAAAGTGACCTTTCAACTAATGATGGTTTAGCGAACGGGTTTTAGAAACCCGAATCAATCCTTTTCAAGGGCCCTTTGCTATTTGAAAAAAAAAATAATAAATTTATGCTCAGTATTAATTATGAAAAAGTGCAAAAAATTACTTTTTCTGCTGTTTTGGAAAATCAACGACTACTTTGCAAATAATGCGAAAAGTGTCAATGTTTTCCTTTCCTGGGTCCTTGAAGTTTTATAAAAAATTAAAGGAACAGGTTTATTGCTCCTTAAACATCAGTTAATGATTAAAATGGAAATATTTTTTTTGCTTTATATTTCTCTCAATTTCGCGTAAATAGCGAAAAAAAATTCAAAATTTTGAAAAAAAATCGATTTTTTCAACTTTTTTTTAATTAAAAAAAAATTTTTTTTTCCTCGATATTTCAAAAATTCAATGTAAAATTGTTAAAATTTCTTTTTTTAATTTTGAGAAAAAAAAATATTTTTTCAAAATTTTCAAATTTTTTTTGATATTTGATGAGTATTTTACGCGAAATTGTAAGAAAAATAAAGCAACTTTTTCAAATTAATGGTTAGTATAAAAAAATTTTTTTCTCAAAAATAGCAAAGGGCCCATTGAAGAGAGTTTCTAAAACCCACCTTCCGTTCGCTGAACAATCATTAGTTCATGAAAAAAAAAGGTCACTTTTCACTCAATAGCCGATATTTCAATGAGAAATAATCGTACAGAAAATAAAAAAAAACAAATTCGAACTGATGGATCGGTTAAATGAGTTTATTAAGCCAAAAAAAAAATTCTGAGGCCACGAGCAGTTCAAAAAAAAAAAATTTGCCTTGCATTATTTCTTTTGATTGCGCGAAAGTGATGTTCAAAAAAATGTTTCGTCGCAAGATTTCAAAACCAGAATCTTCTCGATACAACCACTCATGAAGTTACAGCCTTTTAAAAATCAATAAAAAAGTTTGGAAATTTTTCTACTCCTTTAATTTTTTTGCTGAGTATATGTGATACATTAACAAGGACAGCAATTCGTCTAATACTATTCCTGGATTTCCAAACATAAAATCTATCACTCCTTCAATCTCAACATCATGTTTTTGGAGAAGATCGCCACCATCAATACTAGAATTACTAATTCCAAACTATAGGATTTTTTGAAAAACTCTTGAAAACACCCGATGAGACGGTTCTCGCTTGTTAAAGAATCTCCTGTTGTATTAATTTCCTACAAGCTTGTAATGCGTTGCCGTTACAAAAGCCGTATACAAAAATAATGTATGCGTATTCATCATTTGAAAACTGCATGTTTAACAAAACAACCAAACCAACACAACAACTTTGACGTCTAATAAACCTGAAAACATTTATGTTCTGTCACCTCATTCATTACATACTTTTGTCACTTTACCATTATTTATTAAATTTAAACATTAATCACATGCAGAAACTTTGAAGTCTAATACTTAACTTTAATTGTTCATGAGGCCTAAATATAACAAGAAAATAACATAGGTGAATGATTATTTTTTAAATTTTCAAATCATTTATCATTGTCAACAAAAATCTTTTTGGAATGAATTGTTGAAATTTACAAATCATCTTCGTTAATCGAAGACAAATAATAATTCTACAGACGTACGAAAGGTTTTTTTATATTTATTAATTGCAAGGTTTAATTTTAATAAACGCCTCTGTAAGAATTTCTCCCTACGCCTATGCCTACAGTTTACAACGTTCCGCGGCGACCTTTACAACTGCGCTGTAATGCGATCAAATATAGGCCAATGTCTAGTAAGAACAAAATGAATCAATAACGAATGAAAGAAACTACTAAAGCAACGTTCGAGAATGTACTTACCCATTTCGTAATCCCACTAATTTAATTGTATGCCAAAAGTAGAATTAAAGGGAAGAGATAAAGCACCAGATAAAACAGCACAACACACACGACAGGAATAAGTGAGGTTAGGACGACTCGTAGTCGCTCGGTTCTCGCCATGGTCGTATCAAACAAAGGGGTCAGAATTAATAATGTAATTAAAGAAATCCATAATTTATTCTTAAATAAGTCATATCTTTTTAACTATCCACTTTTTTTAGTTACCGTTACCCAAGATATTATTTGAATAAAAATTCATTCGCAATGTTAAACACTGTTTTTCTTGTACAACCGTTAACCACTTCCAATAAAAATTTTTGTTTTATTAATAAAATTTGATTTAGAAAAATTAATAATGTCCTGAAGACATCATAATATAAAGAGAAGCGACAGATTTGAGATTAAAAAGAAATATAGATGCCACAAATGTTTCTATGCTAATAAATAACAAAGTGTAAAACTGCCATATTTTAATATGTATGAAATGTCAATCGCTGTTAGTTAATTTTAGTCAAATGTTAAATAGAGTTGATCAGATTACTTGACTATCGATTAATAATAAAACTGGGCAAAACAGTACTTTAGTTGTTACATTAAATTGTATCAATAGGTTTGTTTGGATTTCGTAAAAACTTGACAACATTCTGATTTTATGTTAATTCTTTTGATAAAATGTATGTACGTATTTTTAAGTTACGTATGCATTAGAAATAAGGAGATTAATATTTAATGCAGCTTAAAAATATTTCCTTTGGACTTTATTTTCCAAGACGTACCTCATAAAGCATTCACGGAAAAAACATTGTCATGAAAATTCACATAATTGTTTCTATAATCGTGACAGGAAGAAATTGTGTGAAAATTCAACATTTATATTGTGATTATTTTTATAACTGTGAAATTATTAGAAACGAATTGTACATTTTCTTAAATTTTTAAACAGTATTATATGGAAGTTTGATACAATTTAATCCTATCACGATTTTAGGAACAATTGTGTGAATTTTCCTGACAGTATTTTTTGTGTGTTCCCTTTATAATAAAAATTATATCCATAAAATGCAATCACCCCCCTATACGTTTTATTTCGTACACAGTTCCAAAGAAATGCGGGTCATCAGAATAAACAATCTCCTCCAGAGACTGTATTTCTCAAAGGCAACTAGTAATAACAAAAATATCTTTCATTCGGACCTTGCTCGAGTACGGTCAACAGAGACTGATATCAAATCAATATTTTTAAAACAAACAATTGGAGTTTTGTAGGTATATTTTGTATCAGGGGAGGTTTTTATCTGTTAATAACGATGTTGCTTTTGTGTATATTTATGGCAATAACAAAACGTAGAAGGGAGCATTTTAGATGCTCTTGAAAGCATAAATGAAATACGCATGAAGTTATTCAACAAAATTTTTAAAAGTTTGTTGACAAAGTTCTCTGTATACAACACTAGGAAGAACTGTTCGATGGGCTATGGTTTTATTTTTTCGCATGATTGATATAAATTTTACAAAATTTCTTAAAATTCAGAGAATAAAATGATCTCGAAAATTCAATAAAACATTATAATTCAATTTTTATTGAAGGAAATTTCGCAAATATTTGAAAAATAATTATATATTCATTATTATCATAGTTCAATATTTTTATCAAGCAAATATGTACTTTTTGTTTATTTAGGTAATATAGATGTTTATAATTTATTGTTATATGAATATTCATATGATGTACAACCAAAATATAAAATATTGGAATGTTATAGGTACATAATAAACTAAATTAAGTTAATATTCAATTTTTTTTGTAAAAGTTTATAAGTTTATTCCTGAAACAAAAACTTGAACTCCTAAGAGAAAACTTTTTTCAGGAATGAATACTGCCATTATTTCAGACTCGAGCAGATCAGGGGCAGGCAAATAAATGAATTTTAATGAAAACGTATGTGCCTTGAAAAACTATAATGAACTTGGCATAACAAAATTAAGATTAATTTAATATTGGCAGACAGTATTTCCAATCTAACACGTCCATAATATATAAAGAAGAACACTTAAGGGAAATGAAGGGTATCATACTTAGTTGAGAATTCATATCCGGAAAAAAATCTCAATAAATTAATTTTTAGCTCAATTTATAACGTTTTCAGGGAAAATAATTGATATTCCAATAATTTTCATAATAATTCTAATATTGTGAGCAGACAAATGAATTATAAATCATAACAATATTTTTAAACATTGACTACAAGGCTTATGAATGTTTTCAAAAATTTAATTTTTTTTTTTATGAAAATATATTTGTTGTCGAACTTTTTTTAACTTAAATTCCTGTCAAAATTTTAGACAAATCCATTATCAGATATAAAATTTCATGTAGTAATTGCAACAAATATTATACAGGGTGATTCACAACTTATCCAAAAAAATTTGGGAATAGATGCGGCATGAGAAATGGAGTCAATATTGTAAAAAAAATTTTGTAAAATCCTTATAGTTTCTGAGANTAAGATTAATTTAATATTGGCAGACAGCATTTCCAATCTAACACGTCCATAATATATAAAGAAGAACACTTAAGGGAAATGAAGGGTATCATACTTAGTTGAGAATTCATATCCGGAAAAAATCTCAATAAATTAATTTTTAGCTCAATTTATAACGTTTTCAGGGAAAATAATTGATATTCCAATAATTTTCATAATAACTCTAATATTGTGAGCAGACAAATGAATTATAAATCATAACAATATTTTTAAACATTGACTACAAGGCTTAAGTATGTTTTCAAAAATTTATTTATTTTTTTTTTTATGGAAATATCGTATTTGTTGTCGAACTTTTTTAAATTTAAATCCCTGTCAAAATTTTAGACAAATCCATTATCAGATATAAAGTTTCATGTAGTAATTGCAACAAATTTTATATAGGACAGAGATCTAGGAACCTAAAGGGTAACTGTAGATTAAATAAAAAATCTTGTGGTCTGGTTGAATACATTATTATTGATAAGATGTACAATAGCACTGACACGGTCTTAGATAGCGAAGAAAATTTGTTAAAAAAGCAGTTTTGGAAAAAATACGTATTAATTTTGAAATAAATAATTAGAAAAAAATAGGATATTAGCAACTTTACATGTTTAGTTTAAAAGTAGAAAAGGGTTTTTATCAAAATTCAAATTTGTTGCCGCTGTAAAGTTGGTAATATAACTGTCAGTTTCAAAATTTCTAATGGATTTGTTTTCAATTCGAATAGTTTTTTTGAACAAAAAAATGTTAAAAATGCAGTTTTTTGACAGTTTAAATAATTTGTCGTGGCTAACTTCCTGTTCAACAGTCAAACAGTTCAGTCCAGTTCAGTTTTATATTAAATTTAATGTTAAGTAGTTTTTCTCAAAATTTTCACAACAAAAATATGTTTAAATATTTTGTAAATTTATGTCCAATTTTATTAATATTGTATTGTGTGAAGTAGCCTTATTTTAATTTCAACCTTATGTCAGTAAGTATTATTTTTTTTTAAATTAAGAACTTGATTTAAAAAAAAATATTCCTCAAATTTGTTGTAGATGTTGTTGATAAAGGAAATAAACATTTCCGAAAGATTGACTAGATAACGAAGAGTGCCCATTTTGTTTTTTTAACCAAATAACCTTATTTTTTTATGTGCAACCAAGGAAAATGCAATTAATATGACGTATCACAAAATGAATGAGACAGACTAGAAGCACACAGAACTATTCAGACTACCGAGACCGAGAATCGTTTGATTTGGACCGATCCGATACCGGATCATGACGTAAGAGCCAGCTGCCTTTCTTTGATTAGGACTGCGTTTTAGTGCCTAGAGAATTATTTTGAATTTCTATATTTTTTACAGGAAAACTATTAATTAAACATTTGAAATTTATGCGGCAATTGACTTTTTACGACGAAAGGAATTTATTAAAAGAAGAATAAAAGAATGTGCAACTTCCCCATTCTGGCTAAAGAAATACCTTAATATTACCGCTCCACTGAATAGTTAGTTTCTGGGGATACTAGAAAAAAATACGATTTTATATGTAAATATCTACTTCGTAAAAATACATTAAACATAAATGGAGTTTAAGAATATTTATGTTATTTTTGTAAGTTCTCATATTAATATTACACCAACTACGTAATCAAATATTCATTTAAATCAAGAAGTTTACAGAATATTTATATGTTAATTTAATTTAATTTAATTTTTAATTTTACATTTAAATCAAGAAGTTTACCTTAATTTTTTACTCTGTGGGTTTTACAAAGGTTAAAAAAACTAATAACGATTTTATATTAGCGATTAGTATACACTTCGCATTAATATTAACGCAATTAAAAACAAGACACTAAGTGTTATTAGCAAGAAGTGCAGAGTACGGTTTTTAGCATCAATGTTTAATGACAACGTCCGTAGTTCATATCTCAAAGTAGTTTTCATACGGTAAATTGCCTTTGTATCCTTATGGGAGACATTCTCATGTACTAACTTCTGGTCTAGTGTAATGGCCGCAGCTCTTTACTTCCGCTTCCTTTGCTACAATGAAGCGAGCCATCATCAGGCAGATACGTAATTGAAATTTAGAATCCACTGTCTTTTTCATCGGCTTAAATTATTGCCTTGATGGGCTGTAATTTTTCTCTATATGAGGACAATTAGTTACAAACCAAAGAAATTCGCATCATTATCCATATTTTGCCCATTTGGACGTGATTTTTCATGAATGTGATTTGCTGAAGGTAAAGAGTATTTAAACGCGTTCTTACAAAATCAATACAGTTTATCGAATAAACAAAATTGAATGTACACTAAAATAAAATAATTTCTTGCATGAAGTGTAGAATACTTGGTTTTAATGTATCGGACGTTTATATATTCGCAACAATATAATTTCTTCTTTGAAGAAAGTTATTTGCTTATTTGACTTTCTACACACAATATAAATTTTTATTATAAAAATATAGAAAAATGATTTGTATTAATTTTTGGTATGTTTAAATATAAAGTTAATAGTTCAGGTTAAATACATATTTGG